TTGGTATTATTGGTTACTGGTGCGTTGATTAATGCAGCTTTATTGTTGAGAATTCTTGATATTGTTAGTAGATTGGACGTAGCTTTTTTGTTGAGAATGCTTGGTATTGTTATTGTTTTCATTGATACTTGTTATCTTACTCCCAAAATTCCATAATCGAATGCCCTGACTTGGCTCAAAAGTCACGTATTAGGTCTACTTTCTATTAGTTCTCTCTGGTAATTAGTACAAATGGAAACTTTTCAAACATAACTATACATAAAAATGAAAAACAAAAGTTTAATTATGAAGAATAAATATTAGAAAACTATTTCCACTGATTTTTTTAATCATCCGTCCGTTTACGTAAAAAATAATGTCACTTGCATATGTTCTAAATAAATGATAACTCAATATTAAAATTCAAGAACTAGCATAACTTAATATAAATAGAGAGCATTTGAAATAAGCCCACTATGACAAGATTAAACATTTCTTATAAATTCGATTAGATTCAAAAGTATAATTAAATACATCAGTTGTAGGTGAAGTATTCTAATGTGGCATAAGCTAGTAGTAAACGACAAAAAAAGAGACTTATTTCGAAGTTTCAATGACCGTACAGTTCATCTCCATCAAGAGATATTTGTAGTTAGTATAGTAGCACACGCGGTATTAACAAGTGCCTCAGACGTATTATATAACGAGCCTTACAATTGGTTTGTCTGATTGTTTCTTCCCTGTATAAGTAGCATCCCCGTAGTATAGAGTAACTCTACGGGGAAAACTGCATCCTGGGGTAGCACATGTCCTCTAAAGAAACTAATTGAAGAAACTGATGGCTAGTTTTGCAGTCTCTGACAGTCAATTGCCATCTATAATAACTTGAAGGTAAAAATAACTTTCTCTTCTTGATCCTGCGCTGACAGATTACAGATTACAATGGAATAAGAAAGTGCCTTAAAATCAGTTGATCAATTTTAGAGCAAGGAAGCAAGTTTTCTTTCTTAATTAGCTGGTAAATATTATTTAGTTAATATTTTAAGTTAACAGTTTTATTTGCTATTGTTATTCACTAACTATCATACTAGAATAGTTTTTAAATATTAAGCCTAGTTTCGAAATATTTTAAAATCTCGATATAAAATAAAGATATTGAAATAGATTAATATTAAAGAAATTATGAAGCACTATTTGTCCCGAAGGAACTAAATACTACCAAATGTATACTGAGAATAATACGCTTTATTCAAGAAAGTTTGGATGTGATACAGGATGTATCAAAGACTATCCAAGAAAGTTTTCAATGGGATTTCCATCGTTCTTAATCACCACATCAAGCCTATCCCTTCATTGAAGCTACTACAAACATCATCTCTTCTGGACAGTGATCCTCACAATATCCTGCACACTGACAAACATTATTGTTATAAGGGAGATAAAACCTTTTTTTCTTCAAAACTAGATTTGTTATGCAAACATAATTTGGTTTTGAAACGTTCTGAACAACTTTCCTGGTTAAGATGTAATTGTTTTCTGTGCACCTAAATTGATACAGAATTAACAAAAGTAAAATAATCTTCATTTAGTATTTAACCGAACTTGACAGTTAAGTTAAATAAACTCTGTAAAGTTTGTATTATATCCGCTATTGGACAACAAAATCGATACTTGAGCGCGTATATCAGCTAATCTCTAATTTCAAGTTTTATATAACAGAACAAGATTAAATGCCAATAAGATTTATTAAAGAACGTTAAACAAATAGTTACACCAATAAATGACACGTTTCTAACAATAAACGTTAAACAAATAGTTACACCAATAAATGACACGTTTCTAACAATAAACGTTAAACAAATAGTTACACCAATAAATGACACGTTTCTAACAATAAACGTTAAACAAATAGTTACACCAATAAATGACACGTTTCTAACAATAAAATTATTCTTCAAATCTGTAAATTCTTAATGAAAAGGGGATTTAAATATACATAAGTTTCTGTATTATTGGAACAATATCTGTACATATATTTATTTGAATACTGCTTAGTTTTATATTCCTGGGTTAGAATCTGAAGCGAAATTGGTTTAAATGTTTCTTAGTTTTCAGATTGTTGGGTCTAGTCTGTTCCGATCACATTTGATTTCAACATTTGATAGTTTCCTTATTTATTGCCTGTTGTTGAATCAAACATTCATTTTCATACTATTTAGCTTTTATGTTTTTCAGCCACGTTCGTGCCGAAAATGGCTCTAATACCACTTAATTTCCATATTTTATGTCACTGTCTGTCTGTCTGAAGCAAATCTGATTTACGAAAAATATTTCTTTAATCTGACCTCTAGAGGTAAATATAATCAATTTAGCATTCTATAAACTATTTTGTTTATATTTACATAATACTGGAATGTACCATATAGATTTTTTTCATATGTAGATGAATCTCTAGGGTTATATAAATAATGTAACCCCAGACATGCTTTGACTCAGATAAATCATAGTATATGCACGTAATTATGTACGGCAACTCAACAGTTTTAAAACGTTGTCACGTTGCCAAGTTAGTGTGTACGAAAATAAAATGTGAATATGTAAGCAATACATACATTTCAACAGCATTATTGACATGTTCTGTTACCTTGTAATCTTGAAGGAGCTTAAGGAAAGAATTGTAAAATATTATCGTTTGCTTTATTCAACAAGCCAATAAATTATTCTGGTGTTTAGCCATACTAACAGAAGCATCGAAAAACCTATTTGAAAATGAGCTGAGCTTTCAACGATATTAAAGATGCCTGGCTATTCACTATTGAAATAGCGTAGGTAACTGTACTATCTATAAAAATAAAACTTCATTGCATGAATTTTACGTTCTTGTTATTGAATGCTTACTGAAGCTATGCGCATGTATCTTAAGGAAACATGACGGAAATGTTCGATTTATTGAATTACGAATAACAATTTGAGAAATGTTCTGAAATAGAAATAGACACAGTCTGAAGTTAAATATAAAACCATTGTTACGCTTAAAAAATACATAAATGATGTTCAATTTAAGTAACATCAGCAAACAAGCAAGTTCATCCGTAGAATCACGCGATAACAACCTAATGATCGTGATACTCGCAAAAGCAAATGAAAGAGCATTATATAATTTACAAACTAAAAAGTCACTTTATCAACACTAAGGGGGCGTTTCTACCTTTACCTTCAGAATACAG